ACAACGTCTCTCTCTCTCTCTCTCTCTCTCTCTCTCTCTCTCTCTCTCTCTCTCTCTCTCTCTCTCTCTCTCTCTCTGTGTGTGTCTCTCTCTCTCAAGCATTTGGTACGTTCCTCCTTTCGGAGGAGGGAAATATCATTGTAGGTCTTATATTGTCGACTGCAGGCCCTGGACTCACACTACTGGACTGGTACCTCACTTCTAGACCTACCGGCTAAAATTCACTCGACCTCTAAATTCACAAACGTTTTGTCTTCTTCTACCTACCTACCCGCTACTCAGGTATGTTTCTACCTGTGCAGCCCTAACCTACCCGCTACTTGAGTGTTTTTCCAAGTACGCAGGCCTAGCCTACCCCTATACCCTGCTGCAACCCACAGAGGCACGGCCATAGGTAGTTCCAGGCCCGAGGGCCTTCCAAGCATACAAGTACCCTGGCGGGTCACATACACACCCAAGCAATCATGCACTTAGCCAAGCACATGGGAAATCAGCAAGCACGCAAACACACAGACTTAGAAATCTGAGCAAAAAGCGGGAGTCTCAGCAAGGCACACATTCCAGAGCCAGAACTCAGAAAAACAGCAGAGTTCTCGGTCTGTGATTCTGCAGGTCACTGCAGTTTTTTTTTTTTTTTTTTTTTTTTTTTTGTGGTCCAATTGATGTAATGCTGACAAGTTTGGTTCAAAAGTTAGGGGAAATTTGCACTTCTCATTTCTGGTGACTTCAGCTTAAAGAACTGAGCTTCAGACATCCACCAGCAAGGACAACAGACACAATAGCACAGCAGAAAGCAAGTGCTGCGCATCATCATCCACCAGCAAGGACAGCAAACACAGCGGCACAGCAGGAAGCAAGTACTGCACATCATCATCCACTCGCAAAGACGCTACGTGATCACTGTTTTCTGCACCTCCCCACAAATACTTGCGTCAAATCCAATCCCCTTTGCGAGTGGGAACTCTCACTTGCCAAGTCCTGTCCGCCATGTCTTTGTGTTCCTTTCTTTTTTTTTCGTTTTTTTTCTTTATCTATGGTTTTTTCCTTCCCAACTGGAGCGGAAGCAGTAAAACTGATAAAAAAAAAAGATGAAAACGAGAGATGCTGGAGGAGGAGGTGACGAGGAGGAGGACCAGGTAGGAGGAGGAGGAAAAGAAAGATGGAGGAGGAGGCGGCGAGGATTGAGGAGATGGCGGAACAGTCGACGAGGAGGAGGAGGGGGAGGAGGACGAGAGATGGAGGAGGAGGGATGGAAGAGGAGTAGGAGGAGGTGGAGGACGCGACCCGTTGCAGTTAACAGGTGACATCACTTTTTTCTTTTTTTTTAAGAGAACAGGCGGCGTGCTATGACAAGAGTAACAATCAGCTTCATGGCGATGATGCTGCCCACCACATGCAACTCCCGATGCACCGACAAACAGCAGTTGCACCACCTATATCTGCATCATCACAACAAGATCATGTTCACATTTCACAGAAGAGCATAAAGCTGTGCACAGTAATGAAAGAAGCGAATGTAGACGACAGGGGTGCAGATGGACAAAGACCGAAGGAGTGGTGGGAGTGGAAAATCCCACACAGAGAGAGAGAGAGAGAGAGAGAGAGAGAGAGAGAGAGAGAGAGAGAGAGAGAGAGAGAGAGGTGGTGCCATGCCTGCATGGCAGAGGAGGGACGTGCCCCAAGCCCAATACGTGGCTGATGACAATAGTTTCCCGCTCTGCATCTTCAATTGGAATAATAGGTAAGATTAGCATATATTCAACTTCGAAAAAAAAAACAAACTAAAAAGATATTCACCTACATGAGGAGGGACTCACTCCTCAGTCATACACGACCATAGATGAGAGCTCCATGCTCTGCACAAGATCTTGCAAGTGAATGAATGAATGAAAAACATATAAACACATACATATCATTATTCGGATCATTGTCGKCTATAGTGCCAAATTTTCCAAGATCTTCTGCTCTCTTCTCTTCACTCATCTTGTGATAGGATTCGTGATTATCTCCCAATTTTTCATCTTCACTTTMCCCATCTATATCTKCTGATTTCCCGTTATCCTCTTCCCCCCATCTCTTCGCTTTTTCCCTGACCATGACTGTGCTTGTCGCCAGAATCTTCACTATCCTTCTTGCTCTTCTCTTTACTTTTGCCCTAAACACAACCTTCGTCAAGACCGCTGCCATCTTTTTCAACCGCATCCTCTTCCTCACCTATTGTATGGTCTCGCCAGCTCCTTCGCAAGCATTATTTGCTCTCACGGGTAGGTTATTGACCTTGATGATGGGCCCCCACGTGGAAGAGAGGAGGAGAGTGGCATTGCCCAATAACACAGGCCCACTTTAGCTGCTGGTTGCATTTACAGCACTCCATGACTTTCTCCTCACCTTCAATCCTTTCCATCATCCCTACTTGTCTTTGCCTGAACCCGTCTGCTCCACAGTCCGAAATGCGCCATACGTGCCATATCTGGCTTCACGTAGAATCTTCCGCCCCTCCTCCCGCTCCTCCCGCTCCTCCTCCCACTCCTCCTCCCGCCCCTCCTCCCGCTCCTCCTCCCACTCTCCCTCCTGTTGCTCCTCTTGCTCCTCCTCCCGCTCCTCCCGCGCCTCCTCCTCCCCTTCCCGTTTCCCTTCCCACTCCTTCTCCCGCTCCTCCCGCTCCTCCTTTTCCCACTTCTCCCGCTCCTCCTCCCGCTCCTCCTCCAAACAAAGTGAAAAAGATCCGGCCATAGCCATCTCCTACGAAATAAAAAAGAAAAAAGGCATGCCACGTGGCTAGCCGAGAGAGAGAGAGAGAGAGCGAGAGAGAGAGAGAGAGAGAGAGAGAGAGAGAGAGAGAGAGAGAGAGAGAGAGAGAGACGGGCGAGGGCACACCCATGCAGGCTTGCCTCTCCGCTGATCCACCAATGACACCTCTGCACGTATGCCGGCCCGTCTGTCCATCGATCTAAGCGTGGCAATGTCGGCCTGTGTGTGTGTAGGATGAGCAAAATCGGAATGAATCTTCAGCCAGAACATGGAAATATACACTGCCACCGTTTTCGTTTTTTTTTTCTTTTTTTTTCTTTTGTGTGTGTGTGTTGTTTTGAAAGACCCCAGCTTCCCTCTCTCATTCCCTTCACAGATCATCACAAGCCATCCATAACGAAAAAATATACATAGGCAATATAATAGAAAATGCAAAGTTGGTCAAGTTTGTGTGGTTCAGGGCCAAGTGCCCACACACCCGTCTGCCGCCAACGCGGCACACTTGCACATATACATATGTGTACATATCTATTTCAAACCGTAAGGGGATGGAGGGCAGAAGGCAACTTACCTAAGACAGAAGACTACTCCAGCAAGCAGGCACCGACCCTACCCGCTCAAAGGTCCAAAAAAAAACTTGGAGTGTGTGTGTGTGTGTGTGTGTGTGAGAGAGAGAGAGAAAGAGAGAGAGAGAGAGAGAGAACAGGTAGGCTGGCCTCATGGTACTTCCATCGATGGGATGAGCAAAATCGAAAGAATCTACCGCTGGACCATGAAAATATACACTGCCACACTCTCAAATTTCTTTTTTTTGTGTTAGAGAGAGTCTGAGCCCAAATGAAAGTGGATCATCTGTTAGAACGGGAATACACACTGCTTCCCGGTTGTGCGCCCGATGGGATAGGAGGAGGCTACTTCCATTGATAGGAAGGGCAAATCGAAATGAATTTTCCGCCGCGGAGATATACACTGACAAAGTTGCCAGTCCGTAGCTCCGATGAGGAGGAAAATCTACTTCATTGGAGGTGATTACCACGAGCTCAGTAGAAGGCCCGATCAACCAAGTACGGAGACGGATTCAGTCAGATCCAATGGCGGCAAATCCGCGCATAGATCATTACGAGGCTGATTATAATCGTCATAACCGCAGAGGCAGCAACCACGCGGAGCGAAATAGGCAGTGAAATCTCAATGATAGCCACAAAGAGCTGCACTGGGGCCGCCGCTACCTACTAGGTATGCAAAAAGAGAGCGAGTCTTCCACTAATTTTGGAAAGATTCATCGTTCTTACCGGCTTATCCCCCTCATTTCGCGCAGCTCCACTCCTTCATAGCATAAAAACTAACCTTCCTTTCCCAAATCCAACTCCACCAATCGACTCGCAGGGTCCAAAAACCCCAGAATAGAGTCTTGGTTCTAACAGAATCGGGCGAACTATTCACTTTTTACTCCTCCATACTCACTCATTCATTCACCTCCGCGCACCCTCATTTCAGTCTAGCTTCTAAGGCAAGACTCCATTGACTAAACTAACACCACCATTGATCTCGCCCTATGCCAAAACCGCTATCTACTATCTTTCCCCGCCTGATTCCATCAAGGAATGGGCGGGCTATATAATTTTCACGCCCGCCATAGCTACTTTCCCTCGTTGCTGCCTTCTTCGTCGCCCCGTATGCACCTTGCGTCAGACCCCGTCCCGGTTCATCCATCTTTTCCTCTCTCTGTTTGGTGCCGCTGTGCTCTAATCCAGACTGCGAAGATGCGCAGACCGGTATAGACAGGAGGAGACCGGTCACTGAAGTCGAAATCCGCTAAGGGGTGAGTAACAACTGACTTGCTGAAACTAATAAGTCCCGAAAGGGATGGTGCTGCAGCCACGGCCCACGCTCGGCCATAGCGGTTGCTCCTACATAGCAACGAGTAGAAGGGCGCAGGGCCTGCTGCGGAACCTGCAGCACAGGCCCAGGTGGGGCGGGTCTTGGTGCAGATCTTGGTGGTAGTAGCAAATATTCAAATGAGAACTTTTGCAAGCCGAAATGGGGGCTTGGTGCAGATCTTGGTGGTAGTAGCAAATATTCAAATGAGAACTTTTGCAAGCCGAAATGGGGGCGGGTTCCATCCCACCTGCTGCTGGGATAGCCTGCCGCACAGCCAAAACTGCGGCAGCCTCCCAGCGGTGCCCCCTGGCCCCGCTGTAGCAAATCTTTAAATGAGAACTTTGCAGGCCGAAGTGGCCTGCTGCAGGGACAACTTGGGCCGCGCAGCCTTGGCCCCACCCAGGCATAGCTCACCACCTTGCGGGCCCCGGCGGGCATACTCACACTCAAACCTCTCACAGCGGATGGTGGGTGGCGGACTGTGCGCCCACAGAGAGTCCCACCACCCTAGTTTCTTTCCCGTCTCGTGGGCTAATTACCCTTCGGCTCGCATGCACGTCGAACTCCCCGGCCTGCGTTTTTCAAGGGGGGCAGTTCGCCAGCATCTCGAACATGCAGAAATTCTGATGGGCTTGCTAAAATAAAAATAAAGTGTGTGCTCAAGATCCTCGACTGCTGTAACGGCCTCTCACGTCCGGCAAAGTAGTAGCCAGGTCAGGCCGGAGCCCGACGCCGGTCTCGAAACCGATTACCAAGTCAAAGACATCAATAAAAATAAAAGTAGGAATAATAATAATAAAAAATATTATAAAAATAATAATAGTAATAAAATAAATATAAATGCGAGGTAACACAGAAGAAGTAAAGGGACTAGGGGCCTTGCGTCCCGCTGGCCTGCGACACCACGTCCCGCTAGGCCACGCATGGTTGCGCCTCGCCACCGATACCCCGGGCGCGCCGCTCACCCGGGCGAGGACCTAAACTTCCTCTCCGCACGTGCGCCGTCAAACGGATTAGGCTGCAGTGGTGTGACTTGCAGAAAAACACGCCAAATACCCTTGTAAGGGTATTTGGTACGACAACGCTGCATAAGCATCAGTACACCACACACCGACCCATGGGTATCAGCACGAAACCCGCACCACTTCGGAGGCCGCCAATTTTTTTTTCAACGGCGCTCCACGCCGCGCAGCCCCTCCGAGTTTTGCTTGTGGCGACGAAAACTTTCTGCAAGGTTGGGGACGTGTACTTGAGGTTTAACCGAGTTCGAGGGTACCAGACCACAATGGTTAGCGACACCAACCAAAAAAAAAAAATAAAAAAAAATTGAAGTCGCACTGGCGGTTTGCCAAAGTTTAGTAGCACGCATGAAGGCGCAGAAGAAATGCTGCGTGTACAAGTACATCCGCGTCGGGCAGAGTCTCGGCGAGAGATTCCGCGGCAATCGAATGCTGAAGTGCGTTTTCTGCGGCCACGAGTTCCAAGGCAACCAGTTTGTGGCGGCGCGCCATTTCCGCCAGGGCAAGGGATGTCCTGAAGTGACTGACGAGGCACTTATCAACATCCACGCCAACAGTGAGTACAAGATATCCGACAAGTTCCTACAACGGATCCAGCAGTTTGAGGAGCTCCACGGTCCGACGCCTGCGATGGATCCGCGACGGGACGAGGGGGGGGAGGGAGAGACGAGGGACGCGGAGGAGCAGATCGACGTTCACGACGACGTCGAGGAGGTTGCGCGGGCGGGGCAGTGAGGGAGGGCGCGAGGGAAGGGCGTTGTCAACGAGCCGGGGGGGCAGCAGGGCCAGTACTTTGCGTCGGCGCACGTGTCGGTTCGTGCACGGGCAGGTGCAGATACTGCTGAGCCGGGTCCATCTGCGGGGAAGAGGAAGGAGAGAGAGGAGGGGGCGCGACCGACGGCAGCACATAAGAGGCTGAGGCGAAACACTATCCCGGAGTCATTCTCTTCAAAGTGGCAGATGGAGTTTAAGAAGAAGTGGTTGCGGTTTGTGTATAGTCAACGCCTGACGTTCAATGTCTTTCGGAGCGAGCTGTGGTTGGACGTAGTCCGACACTTCAGGGAATTGCCGGGGCCAGTGAAGGTGTTATGGCCTTCAGAGAATGAGATTGCGGACATAGAGACCATTGTCCACACGGCGGAGAATGTGGGAGCTGATCTCGCGGAGGTCAGGGCTCCTTTCTATGTCACGGGGGCCACCATTATGTCGGACGGAAGGAAGTCACGCGATGCTAGACCGATCGTTAACTTCCTTGTCGGCGGGTCGCGTGGGGTGATGCTCGTCCGGACGATGAACAAGGAGGGTGAGCGGGATCGCGCGCCTGATGAGTTGGCGCGCTGGATCAAGGTGTTCGATGACTTCCCCCCAAAGTGGGTGAACGCTGTTCGGGCGCGTGGTCCAAGGACATCATCGTTAGGGGGAGAGCGGTGGTGCGCTTCATTAAGGAGCACGGGGACACTCTCCATATCTTCCGGGGGGAGAGCAAGCAGATGGGCCTCATTTATCCTTGTGAGACACGTTTCGCATCCATGTTCGCGATGGTGGAGCGTTTGCTGGCAGTGAGGTCAGCATTGGAGAGGACGGTGGATGGCGACACTTGGGGTATGGTCCCTTGGGACCATTCCGTTCGTCACTTGGCTAGGTGGGTGAGGTAGCAGGTGCGGCATGGCAACTGGTGGGATTCCATGGTCATCTTGTTCCGTGTCATGGAGCCCGTGTACGACCTGCTGCGCAGGTTGGACTGTGGAGGGCTGCACATGTCGCGGGTTGTTGAGTGGATACAGGATCTGGCCCGCCAGGTAGTAGAGGAGGTTTGTGCACTTCCGACCGATCTTGCACACCACATTGTGCAGAGGGTGCAGGCCCGATGCACCCACATGTTGGAGCTGGCGCACGCCGCTGCTCACCTTCTCTGTCCCAGCCGCCGGGACTTGCGGTACTTCGAGGGCGTTGTCAGCGACTACGACGCCAGTTTGGTGAGGGAGGCGGAGACTTACATCTTGTCGCAGACAGGGTTCAATGTGTCGAGCCCTGACTACGAGACCGCATGTGCGCAGTTGCGCGACTTCCACACATGGAGGGGGACGATTGCTTGGGGGGGAGGGACGGAAACAGAGATGCACAGAGGTGCACGGGCCATGCCGAGACGTACGAGTCCGGGTGTTGGTGGTCGAGGTACGGGCAGTGCGCCCCCAGTTGCAGGTTATCGATCTTCGTGTGATGTACATGTGGACGTGCTCCTCTCCTGCGGAGAGGAATTGGGCCGTCCACGAGGGTGTACAGACGAAGAAGCGTAACCGGCTTGAGTTCGAGAAGGTCGAGAAGTTGGTTGAGATCTCAGCCAACGTCCGCCTTCTCTCTCATCAGCGGGCAGGCCGCGGGTTCGCACTACCGTGGACTTTGGATGAGTCATTGTTGGACGTGGAGGGAGGTATCGGGATTCGCCCCTCATGGAAGGGGACGGACGAGAGCAGGACGCGGGAGGAGCTCGAGGAGCAGAGACGTTCTTGGCAGCGAGACCCATGTGGGTCGAGAGCTCCTCCGGGTGATGTGGGCGATGTTTTTGGTACTCAAGCTGCCACATTGCACCCGTACCCTCGAGACGACAGTGATCCTGAGGGTGACGAGGACGAGCCGGCGGGCCCCGCTACCACCGGTCCTGCGGCGGATGAGCGTGATGCGTAGAGCGACCCAGAGGACGTCCGGAGACAGAGTGGCGGAGATGACCTTTTCGTTGGAGTTGACTTGGAGGAGGAGTCTGGGGGTCGTCACGAGATCCCTCCACAACGTCAGAGGACTACGTCCGCTGACTCGCGGTCCTTGGAGCGGGAGAGAGATCTGCACCTTCGAGGGGGGCAAAGTCGGGGATTGTTCATCTTCCTGCGCGTGTTCGTACTGGTACGGCATCATCCACCGCTCTTCCCACTTCGACAGAGCAGCTTCATCGACAGCCAGCCGGGGATGATCGATTGCACAGATTGGTGAGGGGCCCTAGACAGCGATTGCAGGACAGATTAGAGGTCGGTTCTTCACGGGTGCAGGGGGACGACGGAGATAGACAGGGGTTGGCTCGTAGAGATGGTGGTGCGTTGGCCGGAGGTGGAGGCGGTGCAGAGGTTGCTGCGGCGGTTGAGGCGCACGAGATTCGAAGTGCCGGCGATGATCGGATACCGATGACGAGGGGGGGAGCCGGTTTCAGTGAGTTTGGTGACTTGGGTATGCCCCCGGGAGAGAGCGTGGGTCTGGAGAGAGCGAGTCCCATGGGGACATCAGTGTGGGTATGCAGGAGTTGTTGGGACAGATCAGCTTAGCGGACCCGAGTAGTTTCTCCCCCGCCATGCGAGCAAAGGTGATGTCAAGGGCAAAGGGGGACGAGGACCGGACACCCCCTGGAGAGACATCTGCAGAGAGGCTGGATAGGCTTGATAGCTGTCGAGCTGGCCTCATGGCGCAGAGGGACCCCAGGACGCAGGAGCTCGCCCGTCGTGCGGCCGAGGAGCGACAGAGGCAGTTGGGGACATTTACGCCGGCGTCCATTGACATACCGCCAGCTGCCCACACGGATCCTCCGGCAGAGGTTCACGACACGCCGCAGCCGGAGGCGGCTTCAGCACAGGTTTTGAGCACGGGAGTAGATGTTCGCTAGGGGACATACGAGAGCAGATTGGCACTGACAGAGGAGACACGTTCGGAGCCGGTACAGCCTCCTGCCGTCCAGGTGAGGCCCGAGGAGACGTTGCACGAGGTCACGGCCGTCCCTCAGACTCCTCTGCCTAGGGGTTCAGTCGAGGGTGCCATGCAGATGTCCCCGGGTCTTGAGGACATACAGACGGGGCAGTCAGTGGGCGTTGATGATATTCGCCAGTCGGTACAGGCGGAGGGGATAGCAGCCAGCACTGGGGGGGAGGGGGCCGTAGCGGGGGCCGTTGGTGTTGGCGAGGTGGGGGTGCTTACTTAGGCCGATCCGATGTCCACGTTTGGCGGGGGAGATTGCGCACAGTTGGAGAGGCGTGATGCGGACGGCCAGGATATGCCACAGACTTTGGTGCTTCGCACTGCTGTGGGGCCAGTGGTGCCACATCAGGCACCGTTTTTGGAGAGTCATAGGGGTCGTGCACATGGCGGTGGCCCGGTTGAGGAGCGACGTGTAGGCAGGGGCGCGTGAATACCCCCGGTCCCTGCTTTTGCGCCGTCACAGGAGAGGCGGAGATTAGGTATGTGGCGAGGCCTCGGGGCAGCCTCCCTTTTGGTTTTATGAGCGCTGAGGAGTTGGAGGAGCACGGCAGGACGGATTTGACGGAGATCAACCGGTGTATTTTCAAGACGGTCCCAGAGGAGGGGAAGCTGCCGCACGTGGAGGACTTGTCTTGGGGGCCTGCCAGCCCTAGCTTACCTTCTGGATGTTCCGTCGCAGCGCCATCTGGCGAGGCTGCAGGGGGCTTACGTTCTGGAGGATCCGTCGCAGCGGCATCTGGCGGGGCCGCAGGGGACTTTCCTTCTGGAGGTTTGGTCGCAGCGCCATCTGGAGGCGCCGCAGGCCCTTCGTCACCCATGACCGCAGCTCCGAGGGAGGGCGGCAGTCTCACCCCGAGGTCGGTTGAGCGTAGACGGAGAGACACCGCCCAGCGTGCGGGGGAGTTGCTAGACACCATGTTGTTCGGTCGCACTGATCGACCATGGAGCGAGACGAGACGGGTCACGACGGCGAGTGTCGGTCATCAGCCAGGTTTGAGAGGGGCTACCACGGCCGTGAGACGTCGAGATGTTATAGCTTCAAGGTTTGGTGGTAGAGGCGGTGGCGGTGGTGGCAGTTGTGGCCAGGGCGATGGCATACGTGAGGGTGCAGGAGGTGGCGCAGCGAGCGCAGTGGATCCGCCCTTGACGTACGGTTTGAGAGAGGCGCCGATTATTTTGCAGGAGCCTGGCGTTGTCACACAACTGAGGCAGGAGAAACACGTGCCCTTAGATCGACGCTGGGAGGGGGAGACTTCAAGGACAGACGGTCTACCTATGCTACGCGAGTCACGCCGACGTGATGACCTAGCAGCCGCAGGTGTAGATAGGACGGTGAGAGGCAGGAGAGTCATTATGGACGACGACCCCGACGAGCGTCCGGTCGGTCCCGAGCCTTCCGCTGGCAGACGCGGCGGCCAGCGTCGGAGATATTGAGGACGTGGCAGTGGTTGGTCCCAAGGACGAGGTTCTCATCGGTAGTCTACTTTTCAGTGTGTAGTTTTCTGCGCACACGTAGTTTTTTGTGTTGTTGCATTCCAGTCTACTTTCGAAGAAGGGCATGGCCATTTCTTCCGAGTTTAGTTTTTTGTTATCCATGACAGACGTGATGTTTCGTGATGTTGTATTATATTGTACTTTCCAGTAGGCACTTTTCTGCGCAGTTTGCTACTTCGGAGGTTGTAGCTTTCCAGTGTATTTTACTGTACTTTTCGTCGGCATTTTTGGGTTGGTGCTTCTTTGCACATACTGGCGGGGCTTCAACACGATGTGTCAGATTTTTGCTATTATCCATGCTATATTGGTTTGCGTTTTGCTTCAATCATTACATCTTGTCATTTGCGATGTTTCTGTTTTCAGACGACGAGTGTTTTGTGTGCTTCGAGTCCGCCCTTGGTTTCTCTGAAATCTCACTTCCACCGAAGTGTTTCCATGCCCCTCATAACCCAAACCCTCCCTGTAGCCCCCCCCCCCTGGACCCCCGCCCCCACCACTGCCCCCGAACCCCCCAAACCACCTTTTTTTTTTTTGCTTTGAGTCCGCCCTTGGTTTCTCTGAAATCTCAC